TGGCCATCAAACAGTAAACAGTAGTGGTCCCAACATTGGAACCGACAGAGATCTCTGTAACAGTAGCAGTAACAGTAACAGTAGGTTGTTATGGATGCCACGAGTACAGTTTACTATTCTCAACTCAATCTCACTTTTCCCCAAATTAATTATTCAAATTAATTGTTCAACATAGTGATCCTCACTTTCCCTCTTTCTCAATATCGACCCTAAGGTTCAATTTCATCAATTTGACAACAATAATTCCATTTTCCAAAGTCTCCCATACACATGGAGTTTAACATTTGAAAACCCCTTTTTCTTTTAACCACCAAACAAACCCTAACTTTCCCAATAGTACCCAATGACATCAACTAATCAAAATGACTAATATTTATGTCAAAACCCATAAGATGGAGTAGGATATCCCTACCTCAAGAGATGAGACCCAATGGAGAAGACGAGAAACTCGAATGTGCTCCGAACTCAATGATTTTCGGATCCAAATAAAGATCAAGCAAAGCTCCACGCTTTTTACAAAGACACTAGGGTGGAAGATCACTCAAACTAGATCAAACCTTAGAGAGAAGTTGAAGTTTTAGAGTGAGGAGCTCTCCAATGGAGGTTTTGAAAAAGTAAGAGAGAGAAAGAAAGTCAAAAAGTGATCCAAAAAGTGATTTCACGGACTGATATAAAAACAGGTCCGCTCAAGTGTGGAACTCCCCGCTCGAGTGTCAGACACAGACTCATGCTCGAGCGCCACAAGCGCCGCTCGAGCGCCGGATGCACACTTCCAGAAGTTTTGTAGTCAATGGTCCCCGCTCGAGCATGAAAGTGGACGCTTAAGCGTCCGAAGACCTGCAGAACAAAAAGCTGAGAGATGGAAACTCCCGCTTGAGCGTCAAAACCCCCGCTCGAGCAGACAAGCAACAACAAGGGCTCGCTTGAGTGTCAAAATCCCCGCTCGAGAGTAAAGGCCAAAATCTGGGCATCAACTCTTGGTTTCTAAACACAACCAACCTATTCCAAACCTGCCCAACGCAACCCAAGTCTTAAATACAACGAGTAAAGGATGGGAATAAGAATACGACAACAACACAATCACGGAACCGAGTCCGGAATACAATAAACAAAGAAAGGGAAAACCGGGATCGCTATATTAACATCTCTGACCAAAACCTTCGAAAAAAAAAAAAATCTCTGACTAAACTCTCTAAGCAACTGGGCAATACAATAACACATGATTAAGTGGCTCACCCTCAGCTTTGCAAAAAATGCAAAGGGTTGATTCATTAGCATTAAGAACACCATTCGTAAAAGAGGTGTGCCAAACCCAGTTGTCAGAAAATTATACACAAATGAAATTGTAAAAGTACTTATTTTTGAGGTAGTCCAAACCAATTTATCTTCTGTGTTTGACTTGATTGTAGGAGTTGCCTCTAAAAGGGCTAACGTTCTAGTAACCTCCACCATTTCCCAATCATATAGCTCCTTTCTGAACTGAAACACCCACTCTCCTACAACCTTATTCCTTGTCAACATTGAATTTAAGGACTCTCCCTTATTAACTACCAATCTATGTGGAAGTGAAAATTCCTCTTTCAGACAGTGAGAGAAAGAATCTCAATATATTTTTACACATCTCCAAACACTTTTATGTAGGACTTATGTGCAGGTTCCAATAGATTGATTTATTGCCCAATAGGTCATTTGATAATTAGCAAAGTTTTTCTTCAAATACTAATAACAAATGTTACTAATTGTCAGTTTTCAGCAACAATTTAAAAAATTCGTTAAAAAAATATACTAATTCTAAATTTCAGCGATAGCTTAAAAAATTTTCACAAAAAAATGTTACTAATTGTCAATTTTTAGCGACAAATTCAAAAATCATCACAAAGTCTTTTTTAGCGACTACTGTGATAAGACCAACTTTTAGCGATGAATTAATATGATTTAATGAGAATTAAATTCAAGTATTAACACCTGCTGGTAATTTACCAGAGGACGGGAGTTATAATTTTAGAAAGATAATAATTAAAAATATTATATTACCTTTACCTATCAGTTAATTTATCCACTATGCACCTATCTTTCTTAGTATTATCTATCTATTCACGTATCATTCCTCTATTTGTCCTTATGTACCTATCTGTCAACTTAATTTGCCTATCTATTCATATTACCACCACGACCAATTGCTGGCATTAGCCGCTACCTGTCACTTTTTGGTGAATTTTTTAAAGTAGGTGGTTCGACAATGATATAGTGGTAACAAAATTGGGTTTTTACGGCTTTATATCAACAACATATAGTAAATGCAAGTCATGATTTCTCACTTTTACAACTTGCTTTTTTTACATATCGTAAATAATTTTTCAATCATGACATGTCTATTGCGTAGGTCGTGAATGCTAATATAGATGATTTTTTTACGGTTTGCAATGTTAGCCGTAAATAATAGAACTTTTTATAACGTGCATATGGCATGCCGTTAATACATCAACTATACACGACACGCGTATATCACTGTTAAAAATATTAAACATTTCATAGCGCATAAAAAGCCAGCCTTTAAAAATTCACTTTCCACAACACACAAAAAGCCAACTATTTAAAATATTACACTTTTCACAACACACAATTGCTATTATAAAAGATACGATAAAAAAAAAAGTAGCGCCAAAATAAAAATTTTAAGTGCCAAACATAAAAAAGAAAATTTTTTAAAAATAATAATAAAAAAACAATCAAAACCCCAACTCTTCAGCACTAATACCCCAACTCTGGGTTCTAGAGGAACATTTATCTCAAAAAAAAAAGCTCCATATACTAGTATCTCTATAGTGTCTCTCTCTTCGTCACTTTACTCTCTAGTACTCGGTTTCTTCTCCACCGCTTTTCACTGTTGCCATTGCGCCACCGTGACCACCAGTGAGCCACCTGCATCGTCTTCGCCTCCGTGCTTCTGCTACCAGGGCCGCTACTTTTGCCAAAGTTGAAACCACATCAGGTATCTTACTATCTCCATCTCTCTCTCTCTCAATCTTAATCTCAATCTCAATCTCAATCTTACCCAATTTCAAAACCCTAACATCATCCAGCTTATTCTGATGATGGGTCAGATTTCGGTGTGTCATCTGTAACAGCAGAGAGTGAAGAGGAGGAACTAGATCATCATCTGCTGACTGTACCAAATGGCGATGTGGCATTTCTGAAGGAAAAACCAGTGTGGCTTGCAAAAGCGCTCCTTTGATTTATTTAATTTTTTCATTAATTTCCAATATTGGGTCCTGTTGTTTGTAGTGTATAAAATCTCAAGTGTCTTAGTAAACATTTCATCTCAATTAAATTGTTTGAGCTCCTCAATATTTTGTTTGCTGGATCAGTGATTGTCCAAGTGACTTGTTTGTTTCCTATATTGTTCTGGTTATAGTTGGCTTTACCCTGTTGTACCATGAAAGTTCCGACTTCTAAGTCATTTTGGAACCTTTCTGTTTATAAATTGCTAATAGCTGCTTCTGAATTAAAAAAAAAAAAAAAAAAACACACCGTCAAATACCTAATTTTATACTATATTGTAAATCCCTTTTGTGTGTTTTTTTTCCAATTGGTAGTTTTTCCAGATGGATGATTACGAAACTTATTCTAAGATTGAAGAATAAGGATAGCAAATTTATGCAGGTGTCTTCCTTCAAGGATAACCAGCTTCTTTCCCCCCTGGTTATTTTGGTAATTACTAGACTGCATCTTAACAAAATGTTAGAAATTGATTTCCTATTTGGTTCAAATTTAATACTGTAGTTTCGGTCCCGTTAATGGTCTTCTTTTGCTTTACTTAAATGGCTACTGTTATTGTGATTGCTCAAGGCATCATGGACAGGAAGGTATGAAGCTCATTTGTGGGACAAGAATTGCTGGAATGAATCACAAAACAAGAAAGGAAGACAAGATTCAATATCACTTCTCTCCTCATATTATGTATATATGTATTTCTTCATAAACATATCTTTATAGCAATTTTATTGATTTCTTTCTGCTTATTGCATTGGTGGTGCTGGTTTTGTGGAATCCTAATGAAATGATGCAGTCTATCTTGGTATGTTCCAATTAATATAGTTCCTTTTTTTTTGTAATTATTTCTAGGAATATGGTCACTTAGTGGCTCTTATTTTATTTTGGTGTTGGTAATTCAGGTGCCTATGATGATGAAGAAGCTGCTGCTCAAAGACAAACAGCCTCTCTACTGGTGGTTTGAATGGGATGATGTGACTATGTAGTTTCTAACAGGCTTGTGTTAATTAGGTTAAATGGAATTAAATCACAAGCTATCTGCAGTTTCTGTACTAAATTGACTGATACTGTCTCAAGTGAAATAGGAAAAGCATATGGAAAAACAACGTAAGTGGTGCATCTTTTAACTTGTGGTTTCCTAGGTTTTTTAGGATTCTCATTTATGACAGTAAATTTTATAAGTTGGTATGGTTGTAAAACCTTTGTTGTTATTATTGTGCATAAAATTTGTTATTAGGTGATCTATCATGCTATCTTAGGTTCCCATCCTGCCACATGATAACTTAAAAGTTGTGTTGAGTTTTGATCAATGGTTGAGATTTTGATGAGACTACTGCCAGTTATATGTTAGTATTACATACACTGGATTCTATCTCGAATAATGGAAGCTAAAATTATTGCAATTGGTATGTTGAATGGAACCCACAAATTCTACTCCTGGGATTGATTTTTGGTCCAGTTGAGGAGGGTGATTTATAGTCTTGCCTTTTTTAGCCTCTTCTTTCTTCTGATATTGAACTTCGTTACCTCCAGACCCTTATCATCACACCATATTCCATCTATTTTTTTAACTACTACCTTTGCTGCTATTTGACAATCATATCTAACAAAACCAAATCTTGACCCAGTAGATTTCCTCCTTTTGTTCGGGATAAAGACATCCTTCACCACACCATAGTTGCTGAACAGAATGAAAAGGCTTTTTGGAACCATAGATTTCGGTAGGTTTTCCATAAAAACCGTAATCAGTCCTGGTTCTCTTTGTTGAATCTGATGATAGCTTGGCGGTCTTCTCCTGACCACCGGTTTCCACCATCCTCCTTCCATTCTCTTGATTTTTTAAAAGTTATCAAGAAATCCCTACCTTAAAGAGAGAATAAGAGAAAACCCCCCAAATCAATTTCGTCAGAATTTGAAATCCACTGGTCAAAATGCAGCCCTCGAGACGCTCGACATTTTCGTATAAGGAACTAGTATCGAAATCTCATTTGATCTTTATAGATCGAAGAGAATGTGAAATTTGGTAAGAGTTTAGAGAGAAGGGAATGAAAAGAGAGAGAGAGAGAGAGAGAGAGTGATGAGAAATGACTAAAAAGAGAGAGAAATATATATATATGATTTGAGTGAAAAGGATACAAAAATCGTTGTTTGGATGCGCAAAATCCGCTCGTGCAAATCAACTCAGTGAAAAATGGCTTTCTCGCGAAATCTGCTCGTGCGTATTTGACCTAGACAGCTTTTGTTTGGTTTCTTCAAACAAGTGTATCTCTCTCATCCGAAATCGGAATATGGTCAATTTTATGTTTAAATTGAAGCCCTAGAAATACGTTTTTCAGTGATTCTTGACATCAAGATTCAAAATGTGGAGAAATAAAAATGCAAAAAAATGAACACTACTCAAAATAAATACTTGAATTTGAGATTTTTGGTCTAATCTTGCCCAACCAACATGTTAACTTATTAATCAAGGCTCCAAACAATGAAAAGGATGTCCTAATTATAATAACTAAAAGGTCAAATACAATCCATAACTTTTCAAAAGTTCAGCATATATATATAAGTATAAAGTAACGGTTACCACTTAACATAAACAAGTTGGGTTTAAGACCCAGGACACTACAGTAATTCACACTAGAATAGGACTGTTGGGTCTATAAGAAAAAAAAGAGAGAGAGAGAGAGAAGCAAACAGTTCATAAGATTAATATGTAGGATTTATTGGTGTTTCACTCTAAATTAGTTACTTATCACCTAATTAATCTTTGAAAATCAGGATGTGACATAAACAATCGTAGCGCACGAACTCAAGCCTTGATCATTATTCTTTTGATTGGAATGAACACATCTTTGAATATATCAAAGTTAGAAATCGAGTATAAATAACCCATTTAGATCCATGGGCCTATATGTGTTTTAAAAAAATTAAAACATTTCATAATTAAATTTAATTACATTATATTGCTTAAATAAATATATTGACATCATTATAAATTGAAAAATTTTGTATATAAATTGAAGGATTTGTTAAATAAATTCAATCACTCATCACCACAAATGTGAGTTTCAATAAAATCAACAAAGATAAAGTTTAGATCCTAAATATATCTATATATTTTTTAATGTATTATAAATAAATAACAGGTCGGGCTGGGCTAGGTTGAAAATATAAATTCCAAATCCAACCTATTAATATTTCAAGCTAAAAATGTTGACCCAACCTAGTCCTATGGAATAAAATAACTTTGCCAAGCCTTAGAAAAATAAGATTAGAACGGGTGAGTTGGATGAGTCAACGGGCCAATATTCACCCTTAAGTAAAGGTGCCCATTTTCAAAACTTTGTAGAATGATTTTTGCAATGAGCACTGTAGCTTGGAGGTTGGTCAATCTGTTCGTGTTTTCAAAATATTAATTACCTTTTCTCAGCTTTTGTCCAGGTTTCTTGTACTCTATAAATCGTAATTTTTTGGGAAAATTATGTTAATATTATGTATTTTGATTTTTGTGTCATTTTGATCTATATAATTTTGATTGACTCGATTTTAACATTAATTTTGTCTTAATTTAATCTAATTACTTACAATTGTTAGCATTTTTTAATAAAAAAATATGTATATAAGTGACATGTTATTCTTTTAGAGATAAATTATAAACTTGTTCAATTCGGTGACTTAACCTCAACCAATTCAGTGATAATTTTTCGTTAAAAAGACTAATGGCATTATCAATTAGATCAAATTGACACCAAATCTAAAATTAAGGATCAAAATTGAGTCAATTGAAAGTGTAGAGACTAAAATGATATAAGAGGCAACAACTACTAGTGTAATTTGTCCTAATTTTTTCGGTCCAAATATTGGAATCTGATTTAAAGTATAATTGAAGTTGGATGCTACATAATATTTTGGAGGTGTAAGCTAGTACACAATGAAAATGTGATAAATAATAGAAAAAAGATAGGATGGGAGGAACAATTACAGCAAGGATCCTTTATTCCCAAATAATCTTATTCCCATGTCCCAATTCACTCACAACCATTGGATCATATGAGAATCCCAAAATGTAAAAATCTCAAGACATATTTAATGGTTGTAAGTGAATTGAGACAGAGGACAGAGTTATTTGGGGACAGAGGATCCTTGCACGAACAATTATCTTTTGATTGGAAAAGAAATAGTCTTTATTGATGAAATAAACCTACAACATATGAAGATTACATCAATAAAAGGAGAAGGAAGTGCAAAGAGTGTAAGCAAAGTATAGCGTAGCGGAATATATCAATTATGGTCATACCTTTCAACTGGAGTCTAAATTGAAGGATCTCGTGGGTAAATCACGTGCTTCCTGAATCTGGTCAATCAACCCAGCAATGGGGTGATATTACAATAGTGAATATCTCCCACACAAACCACAGTGTAAATGGCTTTGATCGTTGTTTTTTGGAGAGAGTCAATGTATGGGTGTAGACGTCCCCGAACGCCCCGGGAGGGATGGCTCCCGTTCTGTTCATTTGGGCTCACTACAGTTCGGACTCAAACTGTCATGGTTCTAAATCTGAATCAAAGAGTCCAAATCCGGCAAATCGTTTTGAGAAAACAGATTTTTAGAAAAGAAGTGCCAAACGTGGACTGCTTTTCCAGATACAGAGTCGCCACCTAAATATTTTATTTTGGGGGAAATTTAGGAAACCCTAACTCATTGCCTAAGGCCACGTGTCCGTCATCACCAAAGTTGCCTCGGCTCGGGAACTTGGGTACGATTGGGGAAGGTCACTTCGTGAGCACCCCCGCTCGCCCGATCAAAGATCGGCTTCTACTAACCATGATATCTAGCTTTGAAAACATTATGTGTTCTTATTCCTAGTTGGTTGCGATTTTCTTTCATGATACACACATTAGGGCACAAAAACATAGCTATTAGGGCATAGGTCGTAGAATCCGCACCTAACCTCCCATTGTTCTTGGTGTTCTTCATATTCATGAAGAACACTGAAAAACTGGGGTGAACCGGG